TGGTAGTCACCAACCGCGGCGGCGGCGGCGGCTGTGGCGTTGCGGAAGCGCGCGCGTGTGGGGGATACGGCGAGTCATCGAGGCATATGCTGAAACGGTGGAGAGAGAGAGAGATAGAGGAAGTAAGAGAGCGGACGGAAAAGGGAGGGAGAGAGGAGCTTACAACACGGAGGGAACGAGATCGAGCCAGAGACCCCCCACTTGTTGTTCGCGAGTGGCGGCGCGTGTCAACCTTGCCTTGTCCTTGAAACCACGCGACCGCGACCGTACAACGAGCCAAGTTGCTTCGGAGCAGCGCTAGTATGTAGTAGACGCTTGCACGGTTCTAGGAATCAGCTGATTGCCCGACAAAGAGGGGAATACCTGGAGGCTGTCGGGCTCTCCAATTGGATTTTCACATTTCCCACGAACTCGTATACGTGCATAGAACATACAATAATTAGCACTAGGATAAGATCGAGGGGATTTCTTTTTCTTCTTGTCGGGTGACGAGACTCGGCAATCTTTTTGGAGTCGAGCTTGAAACACTAGCCTTACGTCATATCATTTTCGTCCTTCAGTATTCTAGATGAATAGACATCGTAACGAGTTTGACACAATGTTATGATGACAATCGTTTCGTAACTTATTGTTAGACGTGGTAGAAGAAAATTAATGAAATATTTTTATAAATTAATGAAATATTAAATTATAAAATGGGGATAAATCTCGTTTCTGTTATCTCCATGAGACAGAGTGAAAGAGATGCGTACTGTCTGATACCGCGTGCGATTCTCCACTCTGACAATGAGACGCCAAGCCAAGGTAACAAATCTTGTCGCCCGAGGCGAGGAGACACAAAAACGCGTCGGCAGACTAAACAGAATCCTAGAATTTGCGTATTAATGGTCGCATTTAAATAATTATCACCAGCCGGCTGTGTATCTCGTCACGTGATTCACGGATTACGTTGCCTTCTTGTGTGCCGGCAACGTTTTTGTGTGTTCAACGCGACGCAGCAACGACGGGGTATTTACAATTTTTGCGTCGTGGCGTCAGGTGGAAGCTAGAATGCACGATTCGTGCGAACGGAACAAAAGACGTTAAAACGGTTGAAAAAGAAAGAGCGAAATCCATAGAGAAATTCCGAACGAGCCAAAATGTTTTCCTCGCGTGCGAGTAAAGGTGTACTCGGATAACGAACAGGCGCCACAAAAAGACAACTGTGATTTAATGAAATTGCTCGGTGAAATTATTCGACTCGATTATTCTAATCTCCATGGACGGCTAGTCGGGTCAAACCCCGATAAATAAAAGAACGCTTTATGTCGAACGAGGTACGAGGTTCATAGAATCTGTCAATTATAACCGCATTTCGTTTCGTTCGACGCGAGGGAGCGACCCCAGGAACTGTTTTGTCGCTGTGGTAATCTTGACCAAGCGCTTAGAAAGAATCTGGTCAGACCTCGGTATCTCGTGAGACCTGTTTGTCGGAGATTTTACGTAACAAAAGATAACCGACTCACCGTCGTCGTCAAGCAGATAACTGAGAATTTTAACTCCCGCGTCTCTTACTTATGCAATCCAGCAACCTATGGAAAATTGATATTTTTATCCTTAGATATTGTACATATAATAGGCTTACGGCAAACGTAGTTATGAGCGATAGAAAACTCTTTATATCTGCTCTTTGCGCAGAAGATAGGTTTACGTTTTAAAACGTTATTTCCTCTGACCTGAACCTAGAGTTCACGATCAGCGATGATGAGATAGTACCATGCAACTTGTCATTCAGCGCGTATCGCGTGTACCGCCGCCACTTCTGCGCTGCAATTTACGGTAGCGCCGAAGTTATCGCTGGCCAACCACGTTACAGTAATGCGAATTCTTTTAACGACAGCGGCGACCCAAAATTTCCTATTTTCTATACTTTTATCAATTACGTCATTGGAAATTCTAACTGTTAATTACTATCAACTGGTATATGTTTTGTAATTATGAAGCCGAACGCGGTTTTCTTTCTGCGGAAATGTAGAAAATTTCTAAGACGATCGTTCATTTGCAATGTTAAATTCCACGAAACAAACTGTCTGCGATCGTATGATGTGCGATAATACTGATGAATAACGCAGGAATGATAAACACAGTTTCTCGGAACTATTTGAAGCTTTCACCGTGCTACGCGACAAATATTTTTAGCGACACGCGTCGCGTCGCCGCGGCGCAAACATCGGCTAAATCTAGGAATTTCCAAACCGGAAGCAGTCTCGCCGGAAAACTACTCATCGAGTTCAAGAGAAAATCCAAAGCAAATAAGTTAGTTATTTTCTAGGGATAGTGCCACCTCGAGATTAGATCTTTTGTTGCCTGATAAATTCCTAAATCGATATGAAAGATACTTTTCTTTCCTTTTTCTACTCTACCTATATCTCTATCTAGAACTGATCTACAATCCTATCAGAAATCGCTCGATCGAGGCCTGAACGCCCTCTCTTGTCCCGAAAGTACGAAAAGGGCATCGGTTCCGGAGGCTGAAGTTGAAGGGCCTCACAGTGTTCAAGGGCCCACCGCCAGGAGGCAGCAGACTCTGGTGAATGCACGCTTTCGATCTGACTCGGTGGGGGTTCCGGATTTTCGGTCTCTTGTTCGGTATAAAAGCCACGAAGGGGATCCCGAAAGAAAGAGATGCGTACTGTCTGATACCGCGTGCGATTCTCCACTCTGACAATGAGACGCCAAGCCAAGGTAACAAATCTTGTCGCCCGAGGCGAGGAGACACAAAAACGCGTCGGCAGACTAAACAGAATCCTAGAATTTGCGTATTAATGGTCGCATTTAAATAATTATCACCAGCCGGCTGTGTATCTCGTCACGTGATTCACGGATTACGTTGCCTTCTTGTGTGCCGGCAACGTTTTTGTGTGTTCAACGCGACGCAGCAACGACGGGGTATTTACAATTTTTGCGTCGTGGCGTCAGGTGGAAGCTAGAATGCACGATTCGTGCGAACGGAACAAAAGACGTTAAAACGGTTGAAAAAGAAAGAGCGAAATCCATAGAGAAATTCCGAACGAGCCAAAATGTTTTCCTCGCGTGCGAGTAAAGGTGTACTCGGATAACGAACAGGCGCCACAAAAAGACAACTGTGATTTAATGAAATTGCTCGGTGAAATTATTCGACTCGATTATTCTAATCTCCATGGACGGCTAGTCGGGTCAAACCCCGATAAATAAAAGAACGCTTTATGTCGAACGAGGTACGAGGTTCATAGAATCTGTCAATTATAACCGCATTTCGTTTCGTTCGACGCGAGGGAGCGACCCCAGGAACTGTTTTGTCGCTGTGGTAATCTTGACCAAGCGCTTAGAAAGAATCTGGTCAGACCTCGGTATCTCGTGAGACCTGTTTGTCGGAGATTTTACGTAACAAAAGATAACCGACTCACCGTCGTCGTCAAGCAGATAACTGAGAATTTTAACTCCCGCGTCTCTTACTTATGCAATCCAGCAACCTATGGAAAATTGATATTTTTATCCTTAGATATTGTACATATAATAGGCTTACGGCAAACGTAGTTATGAGCGATAGAAAACTCTTTATATCTGCTCTTTGCGCAGAAGATAGGTTTACGTTTTAAAACGTTATTTCCTCTGACCTGAACCTAGAGTTCACGATCAGCGATGATGAGATAGTACCATGCAACTTGTCATTCAGCGCGTATCGCGTGTACCGCCGCCACTTCTGCGCTGCAATTTACGGTAGCGCCGAAGTTATCGCTGGCCAACCACGTTACAGTAATGCGAATTCTTTTAACGACAGCGGCGACCCAAAATTTCCTATTTTCTATACTTTTATCAATTACGTCATTGGAAATTCTAACTGTTAATTACTATCAACTGGTATATGTTTTGTAATTATGAAGCCGAACGCGGTTTTCTTTCTGCGGAAATGTAGAAAATTTCTAAGACGATCGTTCATTTGCAATGTTAAATTCCACGAAACAAACTGTCTGCGATCGTATGATGTGCGATAATACTGATGAATAACGCAGGAATGATAAACACAGTTTCTCGGAACTATTTGAAGCTTTCACCGTGCTACGCGACAAATATTTTTAGCGACACGCGTCGCGTCGCCGCGGCGCAAACATCGGCTAAATCTAGGAATTTCCAAACCGGAAGCAGTCTCGCCGGAAAACTACTCATCGAGTTCAAGAGAAAATCCAAAGCAAATAAGTTAGTTATTTTCTAGGGATAGTGCCACCTCGAGATTAGATCTTTTGTTGCCTGATAAATTCCTAAATCGATATGAAAGATACTTTTCTTTCCTTTTTCTACTCTACCTATATCTCTATCTAGAACTGATCTACAATCCTATCAGAAATCGCTCGATCGAGGCCTGAACGCCCTCTCTTGTCCCGAAAGTACGAAAAGGGCATCGGTTCCGGAGGCTGAAGTTGAAGGGCCTCACAGTGTTCAAGGGCCCACCGCCAGGAGGCAGCAGACTCTGGTGAATGCACGCTTTCGATCTGACTCGGTGGGGGTTCCGGATTTTCGGTCTCTTGTTCGGTATAAAAGCCACGAAGGGGATCCCGAATCCGGTTTAGCGCTGGCAAACCAAAAGACGACATCCTTTAGATGGCAGCATCTCAGCGTAAATCCCAAGATACACTCACTCGCGATCAGTCTGCATTTGGACTTGCAGCAGCGCGCATGGTGCATCTAGCATCCTTGGGAAGGCACATCTGAAGTGCTCGAATTACTCTTCTATGCATGTTACTATTCTGCATTCTCAATTCTTTTTATAGTCCTGACTATCAATCTGATTAAATGAAGTAAGATCAATTTTTATTCGCCACTTGTCACATGTTAATGGAAATAGTCAATCATGAATTACTGAAACTAGAGTTAGAAATCCGAAGAGCACAAAAGACTGATATAAAGGCAGCAAACATAGATAATATATTTAAAGGGGATGTAATTATGATACGGGTACGAGGAGTGGAAAAAATGAGACCAGATTTTAGTTTTGACAAAGAGATCAATATTTATTTGATGCTCTTGCATTGATAAGCGTCGATCTTTTCTATTCTCACAGTAGAGAGGAATTATAAATTTCATTTCTCTGCACTCGATATAAATATAAATTACATTGATCATACACGCTTGGGTACTCAGACATTCTCCATTCACTCTTATCTCGCATACAGACTTAATTACGTTACAAACTAGGCGTCTCGCGGTTAGTTTTACAAAGGTTCCTCGTACTCTTACAACCACGTTACCCGACAAAAAACACTCGCAGGGGCGTTTTCTTTTATGTACAAGAAACAGAATGGAAGACCTCGGTGATTCTTGTTGCGTAAGGCACTTAAAATACGATATTCGTCTAACGATATGTACAAAGGAAAAACGAAAGTCAAAGTATGATATAGAACGTTAAGACATCGAACGGAAAGGAAATTAAAGGTACGAATTGACGATGAAATGGAAAGACGTAACGAGAAAACAGGTTTCTCGTGAACGTGAACGATAGTTCATCTTCGAATCAGGGTTACTGACGAATACGGCTTAACAATAAAATAGAATAATATTTACAAGGCACTGTATAAGGCACTGCCTCATAGGCTACTGGCCGACTGCACGCACTCGGGAAATATCGAACTCTCACGACTCCCTTTCGGAGACAAGATCTCCTAACGGACAGGACACCTTTCACCCTAACAAAAAAAGCACGACTTCTAAAACGCGATACGCAAGGAACAATGGATCCGCGTACTGCGGGATTCTTTGTCGAACGGAACTAACAAATCACGTGTCTTCTTCCGCCGCAAGCGGCAAATTATCACTCGAGACTGCGTGTCTCTTTCACCCGCGACTGTCAAAATTCTTTCTTCTCGACACAAAGTAAACGTTCTTTCTTTTTTACCACGGCCTCCATGGTTTGCCTTCGATCTCCGGTACAACGCTCTTTCTCATAACGAGAGCAAGAGGTTTCTGAAGAGGAGGACTGTACACACGTGGGTCGAATTCCGGATCACTGGTATATCCGTTAGCTGGCGAGGTGGCGACGTCTCTGTGGCTATTTCCAGTGCTGAAGCCGGACGATTGCTCGCGGAAAGACGCTGGTGGTGCTTCGAAGGCCACCGGGCTCGCAGCCGATGTGGACGTTGAGCTCGCGGAGGATGAGGACGAGGACGCTGACGCAGTGCTGGCCGTTCTCTGAGGAATCGGGATGAGCGTCGGCATAGGCGAGGAAGGAGCTGGGGATGTAGCCGGCGACATAATCGGTGTCGCTTTCGCACCGGCTGGAAGTACCAAAGCGATGTCTCCGTTCGGTAATCTGGTCGGGACCAATTGAAGTCCCGTGCCGTTTGCGTTCGTGAAGAAGATCCCGTTCGATTGTTGAACCTGGATCCTCGGCGTGGCATCCACTTGAGGCAGAATGTGCACTTGCAGCTGTGCGGTCGGTGGCGCCGGTTGAACGGGCTGCTGATTTGTCGTCTGCGTGTTGTTGTTGCTGCTCTCGACCGGTCCAAGGCAGGAGGCCAAGTGGGCCATCAAACGTCTCTTCACCGAGGCGTCCAGCCCGGGAAACCTGCCAACCTCACTGGCACATTCCGTGAAACCGGCGCGGAATTTGTTCAACACGTTCGGATCGGTCGCTGCGGCTAGGGCAACCTGTTGACGCTGGAGGGTCTCCAGATGTTTCACCGTCATCTCCAGAATATCCGCCTTCTCGAGCTTCGAATGCCTCGCTGGCTATAATCAGAAACGAGAACCGTCGATTATGCAAGAGTTCCGATTGAAATTAGGTTCGATTTGAAAAAAAGATTACGGTAAGAAATACGGGTAAGTTACACGAAATTAACGAATTTTCTATGAAAATTCCGAAATTATGAGTAGTAAAGGAATTTAACGATTGCAAATTTCAGTCTGGAAAAGTAAAAATAGAATCGAGCACGATATTCAGGTACTTACGTCTTTTTTCATGGCATCTAGTATGAGGGTCTTCAGGTCATTCAAGCAGTTGTTGATGCGGGCTCGTCGCCGTTTTTCCATAATCGGTTTATTGCTCTGTAACAAAAAAGGAATTCCCAGGTCAGGCACGTTGTCGAACTACTCCCACTAGTTGATCGTTCCTATGGATTTTTAGGAGGCCCGGGATCTCGGCTCAGTTACTGTTTCGAGTTTAAGAAATCCGAACATCATTTAAAAACCCATGTTTAAAACCCATTTAAAATTCCATGAATCCACGAAGTTATTAAAATGACTCGATGTCAGAAGCCTCTCAAAATATTTTGATTTTTCATAAGTATCTTAATTTCAGCATTATCTCTGAAATGTTGTTCGACAACTTCGAGCAGAAGACTTCACAGAAAATTAAATTATTTGGATCTCTCCGATTCCGAATTTTCGTGACAAATTTCAATCTCGTAAAATAAAGTGAAATCCAGGCGAAGACACTAACCCGTCGATTTTCTCCAGATCTTCTCGTGGTGGTGGTTGTGGCGGTGGTTTGCGCTGGGGGTTGTCCAGCCTCCTGGGGCACGTGTTGCGCCGGCGGAGTCGCACCGACGGTGACACCGCCAGTCGGCATCGTGGCACCCACTCCGGTCACCATCGTGTTCGATCAATTCTCGTATCACAGGTTTTTTAAATGGAAGTAAGACGGCAAATCGTTCGCACAATTTGCCGTTTCGTTACACTGCACTGGTAATCCAATGTAACCGATCGGCGTTGATCACTGAACGCCTGGCCAGACTGGTAATCCAAACGACTGGCCGGACGAAGTCGTAGAATTTATAAAGCGGGTGATGATCTATCTCGAATGAGAGAACGCAGTAAGTGAACGCAGGGTGTAAGTCTACCGCGTTCGTTGCTCCGCAGAACTCTCTTTCACTCGAACTTCCGACCACTCGGTACGGGCGCCAGAGTACGACTGACCGTACGAACCGACGAACGTCTTCTGTCGTCCCGTTCGAAGCGTGCCACTCGGTGGAATGCCCGATGGAGGCGCTGCCGCCTTAACGGGGGGGCAAAACGGCGATCAGCCGACGCAAGAGGGGATAGCGCGTGACGGTTTAACCTGGACTTCCCCACCACCACCCGAATTCCGACGATCGGACGACACCCGGTTGCCTTTAAGAGCCCCCACCCGAACTTCGAACCCCCTCCTGGGTTCTGGAACTGACGACCGTGCCGTGCTGCTGCCTCGCGCGAATCCCCACTCTAACAGACACCGACGGACTCTCGGACTTGAATCGATCGGATTTTTGTGCACTGTCATCGACTGTTTTTCCCTTTCTTCTCGTTATTCCCTCTTATTCCTTCCTATCATTCTTCTTTGGGAAAACTGCATCCTGCCGACCCAGTCCCAGTCTGATATTTTTTCTTGCAATTGCGCAGGGATATCCCGCGAAGGGAAACGGGAAGTTTTCGATTACTCAGAAACACAGGACTTACGGATGCATACAAAAGTATATTCGGAAATACATAATTGATTAACTAACAGATATTATATACTGACTTTTTATCATATGTTACAAACAAAATTTAGATAAGATTGAAAAAATTCCTAGAAGTGTTCAAGCGGAAGCTTGTTCCGTAAACTTCGCGGATGTAAATGGGTTCAAAACAGGCCAAGGATGTCTAAAGTAAAACTCGAAATTGCACGAGCATCGTAGACGATAAAGAACAAAGCCTGAATGCATGTATTTCCCACCGGTAGAGGTGATTAGTCTCGTGACGCGTATCGCGCGTCGAAAGGTCATTAGAACCGGCTGGCCGGATCAAGCCGCAGCGAAGGCGAAGGCAACGACGGTGGCGGCGGTGGCGGCGTCATCGTCGTCGTCGCCGCGATCGTGAAGTGGCGATGGTAATTTCTAGACGGGGACACGTGTGGAGTACTTACACATAGCTGATTGGTCGCGAACGTCATCGGGCTTATATCACGTACTTCGAAAATAGCCGAGTGCCACCGTGCGTCGAGCGCGGCGGAGTGACGCACGCGCGCACTATGGCACGTGCCTCGTACTCCCTCCCTGAGTCTTTCGAAATTACTCTTTCTACTTGTGCGACCGATTAAACGCGCGCCGCGGTATTTATCTCGCGCGCATACGTGCGCGTATGTCTGGCACGAAACTCGCGAATCGCGATACCTATGCGATCGCGAGGCTTGCGCGTATATTTCTTTGGTCACCGATCCGATCCAATAAATTTGCTGCTTATCGCACGTTCTCTTGCACGATTTCTGAGAATCAGAATTGCGTTTGCTGGTTTCGGTACGAATGGAATTCCAGAAATGTTAGCTTGGATGAAATACGTAGTGGACTTTGCATACTATTATCTGATATTACAGTTGTGAAATATGGAATATCTTATACTCTTTCTGATTGATAAAATTAATTTGTGCGACACATTACATTAAAAATAAGTAACCCCGTCCCCTATCTAGAGAACAATTTCCTGTTTTCTATTCCGTTGCCGGGTCAAAAAGCATTAACTTGATAAAGAATTGCATTGTGTAGTTCTAACCATTCTGTACACTAATTCCCAGGGTATGTATTAGATATCTACGGAGTATCTCTGGCTGAGAGCACAGACGTGTCAAAGGCTCGGCGGAAAGATAATCAGACAGTGCTCGGAGCCGGCGCGCGGATAGTTCTGGCGCCGAGTGTAGCCAGCCAAGTATTCCCGTGGCTGTATTCCCAGAGCCCTACAAAGGGTAGGAAACCGAGCAAGCGTGTAAAGTGCAGCGTGGAAGGGGAAGTGGAAGCCCGGGAGTTCGTAGAAGCGCGGTAGGTGCGACGAGGTTCGCCGGAAGGATCGCGGTCGTGTCCTTTCCCTGTCCAAAGGAATGGATTGAAGAGGGGAAGAACGAAGATTGACAAAGGACGAAGAGATGCATCCTTTCGAGGATCCAATAAGGAGAACGTTATACCTGTAAGTTGGAAGGAGTCGAGGAAACCTACGAGAACGATGATGTTCGACTGTGTAGTTGTGAGCGAGACGAAGAATCGGTCGCCGCCAATCGTGCAACCGAGATTCGACTCGGCGTACGACGAACGCGATCCCATTGGATGGGAACGTACCCCTCCACGCGATCGGCCCGAGGACAAGCGTGCCGCGCGCGACGATTGCGTGGGTGGTGGGGGTGCGATCGTCATTCGACTTTGAGCGCCGAAGCGGCGCGGCGGCGTCGCGGCGCGTGGGTCGCGGAGTCCGTGGCCCTTCGGGGCCACTCGATCCCGATGGAATGCGTGGGGGAGAAAAAGTGTGCACGCCGTTGCGGGGTGGGTTGGAATAGATTGCCAGACGGTGTATGCAGTGTGTAGCTACATACATGCATACCTGTGGCTATGCATCTCGAGGAGCGCGTCGAGTGCTCGCGGAAAATTGGGTGCGCAGCGTGGGTGGGAGTAGACATAGTGCATCGGACGTTCGATGGGAATTGAGAGCGCACTCCGAGGGCTGTAGACCACCACGTAGAGACGTAGATTGTAGATGCTTCGAGGATGTAATTGGAGTGTACTAGACAGAGTCGACGGGACTCGAGTCGCGCTTTGAGTGCACCGAGTACTTTGTGGAAAGATGGGACGCGTTTAGAAAGCATTCGATGGAAGTAGAACATCTACTTTAAACTTCATTATACCTTAATGCTATGGTGGTGGTTTCTGGTTTCAATTCAATACCAGTTCGTTGAAATATTATATCATTTGATGAAAAGTATGATTAATTATAGTTTCTCATTTATATGTATATGAGATTTCCAAGAATAATGGAAATTTGCATAACTTATATATTGCCATTCATATAATAGCTGTATTAATGATAATATAATAGTAAAATCATAGTTACTGTGAAGTAAAGAAAGAGACTAAGGTCCAATACCAGGAGAAAATTTAAGAATAACTTTGTAATCAATTGAGACAAACTCTCTTATTTTGAAACAGAAGAAAAATTGCTTTACGTGCTAATATTTAACTATGTATGCTACTTCTATTCTAAGTGGCGTACATGGTGCTTATATTGCTCATACAGGAATCGTTTGGGTCGTTTGCTTTCCACAGAACAAAATAATTATGCATAATATGTACTACATGTATAATATGTACATAATGTACAATCGTGTGTTTGCCTTATTTGCAATGAAAGGGTAATGTGGGCCATATTATGTTGGATGCTGCATAGGTGGAGCAAGGTGGGTGAATGAGAACAGGAGAAGCTCCGATAGCGTGCTTCCATCTGTCGCCAATCGCTGCAGCTTTTTCTCGGTGTCCTTCTGGCGCGCTCGATCTTTGTTGGAACATGAACAGCGTAAACTCGATAATTTCATGTAAATCAATTCCTTCCCTCCTTTGGCTCTTGACGATGAATTTTAAAGTTCTTTTTATTTACAATTACAATCGCGAGAAATTTATTTCCATGACAATCCTGTTGCAAGTTACAATTAACGAGTTTCTGCTCTCGCACTTCGAAGAGATGTTAATGATGTTTTTTGTCTTTTATAAAAGAGTAGTCATGATCGATTAAGATAAGTCGCTTCGCATTTATCACATGCCAGTCTTCGATGAATATACTCAGTATTCTCTGGAGTCTTTGTGAGTCACAGAAATGTCTAGACGGCTTTGCAGATAAGGATCGTAATACTTTGATATCGTACGCGGTGGGTGTTAATCTCTCAATAAATTTTACCATGTTACGCGCTACACCTCAGAATTCTATTCGATACACAATTAGTTTCTATTATTGCTTTTCATCGTTTCCACACGCATTTGTACGAGGATTTAAGAGATCAAGTTTTACACAAATCCCCTTACTCATTAAGGATACTTAAAACTCTTGCAAAGTGGTTAACATTCTATTTATTATTATTTGATAACAACCTGCAAATCGCACTACGTAAAGAGCACTATCTATTGAGGGGCTAGGGGACTCACCTGACTTTCCTAACATTCGTCAGTAAATTCTTGACGCTTTTTGCTCGGTTTTATCCTTAACCAGGCAAAAATGATGCAGAATATGAGTTTACCCTATTTGATTGTACATTTCTCAGAGAACCAAGACAAAACTCATTTTAATGTTTAGTTTAAAGTACATTTCAGTCGCTCTGTTCCTTATTTTACTCCCAGCAATTTCTCTTTGGTATAAAATTGCTTGAAATGCAAAGCTAAGTAATTACGATTATCGTTTCACATTATAACATTTATTTTATCAAAGACCTGCATAATCTCATTGAGTAATAACCAGAGCTCCGTAGAATGTACATCAAACTAAAGATTAAAATGAATTTTATTTCAATTCTCTGAGAAATAAAGACGTAGAATCGAATAGCGTAAACCTACATATATTTTTGGTAAATAATAGATAACATTGACATTCTCGCCTGTCACGCCGACAAATTTTTGAGTAATTAAATTTCATCTCGCAAACTTCACTGTCAGGCCGCTTATTACCTACTCTCATGACGATTTCAATCTTCTTAACGGATTATCGCTAATACTTATTAGACAGTCTTAGTGTTATACTCGTCCCGTCTGTTGTCTACGTGACGTCCAGAAGGACCCGCACAACTCATTAGCTTTATGAGGTCCCGGTGGATTACGACTGCCTCGGTTGGTGGTCGGATAAAGGCGTGTACGCCGCGGCATCCGCTTTTGCCCGCAGCTCATCGACATTAATATTCGCTCCCCTTGCTCCGAAATATCAGATTAGGGCGTTCGCCGCCCGCTCCCGCCGCACGGTGCTGCATTATACTTCATAGGAGAATCAAGAAGCCGAACGAAACGAGCCGAAGTATAATCAGACGTTCATCATGTTTCGAAGTCGTGTGTTCATCTCGTTTTTGGCGAATAGGGTGAACCGTGTTAGTTATGCACTTTTTGTTAGTATTGGAAACTGCGAAATTGGAATTATGAAGAGAATAGAAAGACAGGAGTGAACCTAATGTCATGTTTTTAAGATGTTTATTGTTTTAGTTGTGGTTTTTTATAAACACAAGTAAATAAAATAG